TTTTTTTTTTTGGGAAGTGACAAAATATGTAATAGATGTAAGTGAGGAACTTGGAACTAGAATTGGACTGACACAATTTTTAAGTGTAAAATGGAGTATTTATAGGTAGTGAGATGAGGAAGTGACACAACCGGTAATCTCGGGATGCTCGAGAATGTTATAAGGGTGTTAGATTGATGGTGCATAAACCGATGGAAAAAGCTTTCTGCAATCTAATCCTACGGTTGTGATTGGTTAACTTCATCAACGTCTGGAGGTGCGGGTTGATCAGATCAAGATAAGTTGCAGCGGGCCAGCAAGAGAATCGACACACAACTCAACACTCTATTGCTTGGTCGCAATCTTGGACCTAATTGCCCTTGTTCTATGGCTTATTTACAATTTGGCACGCAAACCCAGGTGTGGCAAATTGGATACTTCCATTTTGTGATGAATAAACTATAATCTAGAAGAAAACCTTGCGCGTAAATACATATATATTTTTTAATTCTATCTCTCAAGAAATTTGTTTAGGATTTAAATAAGTAGTTGTTTCAGCTGGCTTCTTTATTTTTTTTTTATTTTTTTATTTTTTGGTTTGCAGTTATAGTTTCTTTTCCTACTATGTTAATAGAAAGAAAAAAAAAAAGGAACACCCTTTTGTTTGATGTATAGAAAGTGTAATATGATAAACTTAATTAGCAAATGTATAAGTTAGCCTGATGAACTTGTCAAATTTTTGAGAAAATTGTAAAATTTACTCTTAAAGTTAATGGATTTGAATTTTTATCTCTCATTTTTTATTAATACATTTTTATTAGTATAGTTATTTGACTAAAAAGGTTATTAATAAAGAGTAAGATAAAAATCTTGAGACATGTATTTTTAAAATGTATTTTTCTCATTTCCTCTTAGGGGACGTTTGTTTCCTATATTCGTCCTTGATTCTGAATCATGATTCATGGTTCTCTACAGTATTTTCTCTCACAAAAAATACACGTAAAATAAAAATAGTTCTGAATCATAATTCTGAATACATAAATCAAACGTCATCTTAATTTTTACAGTCTAGCCCAAATTGATAAGGCCTGTTATATTGGTAACGAAAGGTAGGGACCTACCAAAGTTAAAAAGTACTTCAGTGGACAATTTGCCAAAGCACAAAAAGTTGAGGGGAGAAAACTATCAACAGTGTGAGGTGTTTGTGGTAAATAACGTCATCCGTTTTGGGACATATTGGTAGGTTCCAAATTTCAAGAGGTTGATAATTACCAAAATGGAAATTGGGGGACAAATTGGACCCTTAGTTCTCAATCTAAAATTTTCCCAAGCAACCAAACTCATAGCTTATCAAAGCTTCTCAAGATTTTTTCACCAAATCTCTTTCACATGTGCTTAAATGCAAATATTCATACGCCAACACAAATGGGGATAATAATATACAGCGGCTTTACAAAAGAATATTAATGTAAACAAAACTGGCAAACAAATAAAACAAAAAAAAATTATAGAAAACAAACCGTGTTTGGAATTGATCCCCTTTTTATTTTTCACGATTCTCGAGAAAAAAAAAATGAAAACGTTTCCAAAACGGCGTTTGGCGCAATAAAGACAAAAAATGAAAATAAAAATGATTTTTTAGTTTAGTGTAAAATGAGAGAAATGAAAAGCGACTTTTAGTCGTTTTTCATTTTCTGTTGGTTTTTTAATACTGAAAACAATATCTTGATAAAATTACCAAGTTCATTTTTAAAAATGATTTCTGTCTGAGATTGAAAACGTTTTCATTTTTTTTTTATATAAAAAATAAAATCATTTTGAAACGAGTTCCAAATGAAAGTAAAATCTTGTTCCTTTGCTAGTCTTTCCATGTTTCCAAATCGACATCATAAAGATCCTTAACACCTACTTGACGTGGTGTTGGTCGGGTTATCATCCCTACTCTGGAGAGAAACAGAGGAATCAATCCATGGCCCATCTATAGACATGCCTGGTTGGTGGCTGTCGTGTGAGTATGAAGAGTTGTCTGTTTGGCTGTCATGTGTTAGCTTCTCAAAGGCTTTGAACCGCGGATCCTGCTCCGACGAGCTGCGCTTCGCCAACAGGGCTTGGACCGGGATCTTTCCCTCCAGCATGCTCACCACAGAAGACATGGTTGGTCTAAGAGTGGGAGATGGGTTGGTGCATAAGAGCGCTATGTTAAGCATTCTCATAGCCTCCTCCTTCGAGTACTTTGAGCCGAGGCTAGGATCCACAAGTTCCAAGAGATTTCCTTGTTCTTGTTGGACATAGGCCTACAGTTGTATGTAGGAAAACAAAGGAAAAGTTTAGACATTGTTTCAAGTAGAAAGTTGACGACATAAAAAAAAAGAAGTTTTGATAGTTTATTATGTTGGTTTTGCTTATGCTTTTATGCAGTAGAAAAAGAAAAGTAAAAGCTATAATAGACATTACAAATTTTTATAAACTTTGATACAAGTTTCAAAGCATTCTTAGAAGAGTTTCTTGAGAAGCCGCGTTTTATGGCTTTGACTATAAACACTTTCGAAAAGTTATCCAAATATTCCCAGAAGCAGCTTGAAACCATGAAACCACAAGCAGCTTCTTGGAAGCAATGCCATTAATTTTGAACAACGTAATGTAACAATTTAATTTCCATGTGATTTTCAAACTTTATTAGAAAAGCATAAGAGCAAGATAATAGCAAAAAGATCTTTCACAGCCCACATAATGCAATTCAAGACTTACCCAATCAAGAAGATAAACAAACTCCTCCTTTGGCCTGTAATTTGTGTTGCTTTTCCCACTGACTATTTCTAAAGCCACCACTCCAAAGCTGTAAACATCTGCCTTGTCAGTCAAGTAACCCCTCATTGCATACTCAGGAGCCATATAACCTCTGTATGCAAAACAGATAGGTTCACATTAGTTAGCATAATGCCTTAACTAAGGGAAGCATCTCAAACGATTTGTTCGGTAATGTAATGTGATATTGTTACATGTCTTTGCTGTGATGAGTCAACAATATGATTTTTTTTATTTTTTATTTTTAAAAAAAAGATACTGAAACTTTATTAAATGAAATAAGAAAGCAATGTCCCGCTGGATATCTCTTCTATAAATAGTTGTTTGGTTTAATCCATCATTTCATACCAGTTTAGAAGTTCTGTTCCTTAAAACTTTTTTCCTTGAAAGTTCAATGCTTCATGGATTATGTTGCTTTGTGAAAGTATCACTACTTCATACTAATTCTCAGATGTTGACCAAAATCTTTGGAAACAACAGTTAAGTTTAAAGAGCCAATTTCCAAACCAAAAAAAAAAAA